GGGGACTTTCCCTGCAGAGACCCGGGGCAGCCAGGCGTATGTCAGAGGGCCAGGTGACTGCCAGGCAGCTGTTAGTCCTGGAGGCTGATGGAGTCATTCTTGCTTCCAGATCTTCCTGTCCCTCTCTCTCTCCCCTCATAAGAGCCTGCCCTACAGGCTCAGCGCCTGTAGCTCAACCGGCTAAGGCGCCAGCCACGTACACCTCAGGTGTCCCCAGCCCGGACCCGCCAAACAACAATGACGGCTGCAACCAAAAAATAGCCAGGCGTTGTGGCGGGCGCCTGTGGTCCCAGCTACTTGGGAGGCGGAGGCAGGAGACTCGCTGGAGGCCAGGAGTTGGAGGTTGCTGTGAGCTGTAATGCCACGGCACTCTACCCAGGGGGACAGCTTGAGGCTCTGTCTCAAAAAAAAAAAAAAAAGAGCCTGCCCTCCAATCAGGGCTGGAGTTTGCCCTAATCTCTGCCACTGTGCTGAGCATGTTACTTATATTACTATATTTTATCCTTGAAGAAACCTCTAAGCTTGGTTCTAGCATCATTACTCCCATTTTCCAGTTGAGAAAACTGAGGCACACACAGATGGTAATTCAATTATCTAAAGTTCCACAGTGCACAGTCAGGGGTCCCTAAGACCACTCTCAGGTTGGATGATTCGCTGAAGGACACCCAGACCCACTGAGAGCTGTTATGCTTACAGTCACAACTGATTATAGAGAAAAGCCACAGATGAACATCAGCCAAGCATGGAGCCCACAGGCAGTGTCCCGGGGAATTCCAAGCACGGAACTCTCAGCTGCTGTCTTCTGGTGGCAGCCCTTATTTCTGCCAGCAATGATCTAAGACAACATGCACAAATCATTGCCAGCCAGGCAAGCTCATCTGAGCCTTGGTGTTGAGGAGTTTTGTTAGGGGTGGTCACTTACCTGTGGGTGATCAGCTGTGTTCCTGACCTCCCCCCCGCCACCCCCGCCTCAAAGTTCTGCTACTTCAAGGTAGAACAGATACCACTTGATCCAAGGCCCCTCCCCCTCCACACCATAAATCACAGTATTAGTAAAGACTCTTCCAAGGCCCCAGGTAAACAAAGACACTTTTATCAGGACACTCCCAGGGCCTATGGGTCACCTCCCAGGAGCTGAAGGCACAGGCCAGGCCTGTGTTTGGGGGAAGCTGATTCATACTGCTTGTAGCTAGTGAGTTGGGGACCTCAGCAGAATATCTTGAGATGTGCCCCCTCCCTCACATCTTTTTTTTTTTTCTGAGATAGAGCTTCCAGCTGTCACCCTGGGTAGAGTGCCGTGACATCACAGCTCACAGCAACCTCAAACTCATGGGCTTAAGCTATTCTCTTGCCTCAGCCTCCCAAGTAGCTGGGACTACAGGCACTGGCCACAACACCTGGCTTTTTTTTTTTTTTTTTTGGCAGTTTTTGGCCAGGGCTGGGTTTGAACTCGCCACCTCTAGTATATGGGGCCAGCGCCCTACTCCTTTGAGCCACAGGCGCTGCTCTCTGGCTATTTTTTTGGTTGTAGTTGTTATTGTTGTTTGGCAGGCCCAGGCTAAATTCAAACCTGCCAGTTCAGGTGTATGTGGCTGGCACCTTAGCCACTTGAGTTACAGGCGCCGAGCCCTCTCTCTCACTCCCATGTTGTTCTGCCACTCAGGTGAACGGACTTCCTTCAGCCCAGTGCCTGTATCCCTTGGGCAGTGTTGTCCACAATCTCCCATCAGGGCAGGTCTCACCCTCCCTGAGACTGGAAGTTTCTCACCAGAGGCAGGAAAATAATTTTCAGGGCTCAAAACAAAACAAAAACCTACTGTGCCTTGTACTAAAAATGGGAAAATTCTTTTCCTTTCTTCCATAAACACTCTCTTAACCTGTCTTGATTTTGTTTTAACATTTAAAAAAAGTGTCTGAATACAATGGTGGTTAGTAGAGGCTGGGACAGGGCAGACCATGGTGGGAAAAATGGAGAGGTTGGTCAAATGGTACAAAATTTCAGTTAAACAGGAAGAATATGTTTTGTTTAGTTTTTTAAATTTTTTTGATTTTTAGAGATGGGGTCTTTCTCTGTCACCCAGACTGGAGTGCAGTGGCCTCAAACTCCTGGACTCAAGGAATCTTCTCTCCTCAGTCCTCCAAGTAGCTGGGACTACAAGCATGCGGTAGCATGCCTGGCTAATCTTTTTTTTTGAGACAGAGCCTTAAGCTGTTGCCCTGGGTAGAGTACTGTGGCATCACAGCTCACAGCAACCTCCAACTCCTGGGCTCAAGCGATTCTCCTGCCTCTGCCT